TTATGTGTTTGATTTCTTAACCTGACTTTTCAGCAGTCCTTTTTTTCTTTCTGCATTTGTTCTTGCTTTTTTATATAGTTTTTTTTTTTTTATTTGTGCATATGTTATTTCATTTTTATTTCTTAAATTACTCCATACTAAATTCTACTGTTCCAAAATATTATAAATGTTTCTTAGAAAAAATGTATATATTGTGTTTAATAGAGAAAAAATGTTTTTTTTTTTTTTTTTTTACCCGGATATTTAAAACTACTATTTTTTAGAGCAGTAATCACAATACCATAAATCCGTGGTATTTTTATCCAAGGTTATCATACTGTCAGAATATTATTTACTTATTTACTTGCCTTTTCTTTCAAACAAAAAATAAATAAATAACTAAAGTGCATGCGGGTGGCATGATGCTTCAGTGGTTAGCACTGTCACCTCACAGCAAGAAGGTCACTGGTTTGAGTCCCGGCTGGGTCAGTTGGCGTTTCTGTGTGGAGTTTGCATGTTCTCCCCTTGTTGGTGTGGGTTTCCTCTGGGTGCTCTGGTTTACAGATCTGCGCAAGACTAAATTTTGAATCCCGCTCCCGCCAGGTTTTAGCCCGAACCTGACCGCTCCCGCTTATATTCAGCATTTGTTGTCCCGCTGCCCGACCTGCATGGTTTTCTACCTGCCGCGCTTGTTCCCGGTAACGGATGAGGGGGAGGAGAATAAAACCGAAAAACCACCTAGCTATACAGAGTCCAGATAGCCTATAACAAACCGTACAAACACACACACACAGCACAAAGCTCTCTCTCTCATTCGCACACTCACACACACACATAGACCGCCACAAACAAGCTAAATGCAGCATCACGCTGTCTCATTCACATACATAAATACGCGTGTTCGTTTGCTCGGGAGTCGGGAGCGATATTATTAGACCGCTTGCTCCCGTCCAAAATTAAACTAGTTACCGACCACTCCCGGGCTTTATTCGGAATATTTATTCCCACGCCGCATGAAATCTTGTCTGGTCCCGCTGTACAGCCACAGGAATGCAGACCTCTACTTTGGTTTCCCCCACAAGTCCAAACACATGCGCTAAATGGGAATTAAATTAGCTATGAGTGTGTGTCAATGAGTGTGTATGGATGTTTTCCAGTACTGGGTTGCAGCTGGAAGGGCATCGGCTGCGTAAAACAAATGCTGGAATAGTAAGCGACCCCTAATGAACAAAAAGACTAAGCCAAAGGAAAATAAATGCATGAGTAAAGTGCATGCCAGACTCTGTTATTTCCCTGCCAGTGATTCTTCGCTTTTAATCTCCTCAGTTGATGAGAAGCTACTGTTCTATTTAATACTGTTAAAAAGTTTTACATTTCAAAATTAACATAAATATTAAATATTATGTATTATAAAAGGCATCATGGTGGCGCAGTGGGTAGCGCGATCGCCTCACAGCAAGTAGGTCACTGGTTCGAGCCCCGGCTGGGCCAGTTGGCATTTCTATGAGTTTACATGTTGTCTCTGTGTTGGCGTGGGTTTCCTCCGGTTTCCCCCACAGTCCAAACACATGCGCTACAGGTGAATTGGGAAGCTAAATTGTCCGTAGTGTATATATGGGAATGAGTGTGTATGGGTGTTTCCCAGTGATGGGTTGCAGCTGGAAGGGCATCCGCTGTGTTAAACAAATGCTGGATAAGTTGGTGGTTCATTCCACTGTGGCGACCCTGGATTAATAAAGTAACTAAGCCGACAAGAAAATGAATGAATAAATGAGTTTGCATGTTCTCCCTGTGTTTAATGCATTTCGTGGGTTTCCTCCATGTGCTCTGGTTTCCCCCACAGTCCAAACACATGTGCTATAGGAAAATTGCTGGAATATTGGAGAACATATGCTGGAATAGTTGGCGGTTCATTCCACTGTGGCGACCCCTGATGAATAAGGGGACTAAGACAAAGGAAAATGAATGAATGAATGAATAAATGAATTTTTAAATGACAAAAAAATAAGATCTCTCAAAATGACACTACAAACATTTAATCTCACACTCGTTAGCAGTCATTAAGCACAAATACATCAGCATCAGCAATAGAAATGGCACGATAACCGGTTTCAAGGTTTATTCAAGAATATAATTTACTTATTTACCTTAATTTTCCCCTTAAATAAAAATAAATGAATAAATAATAAAGCGCATGGCAGAACTCTTTCATTTCCCTCAGTGATTCCTCACTTTTAATCTGTACAGTTGATGAGTGCTAACAGAAGGCAGATCCAGCATAGCAGAAAATTTGCCCTAACCGTCAATCATCTGTCAGAGTCCCAAGGGGCGGAGCTTAGGCACTCGAGTCCAGCTGATTGGCCCCCAGGGCATCCGCTATTCATTGGGCATCTGCTTCAGCTTCTTTTAGAAAAGCCTCCAAGTGGCCCTGGAGGACTTTTAACCAGTCTTCCAAACACTAACTCCCCCAAAAGTTCCCAACAAGTTCTTGGTTTTATGAGTTGCGTTTAATTGGGTGGTCTGAGGGAAAGGCCTCATGCTGCCGCGTGTTTTTTCTGCGTGTCAGTGGGTTTAATGCTGATCAGCTGTGGTAATGAACTCACGCTGCTCCTTCCTGGAAAAACTGAAGCCAAACGGCATGAAAAATCAAGACTTTCTGAAGGGTTATGATGTGAGATGAGCTTTGAAATCATCGACATGAAAAGATGAAGCTGAATAGAGTCTCTCACGCAGCGGAAACTGGGCTTTCGAGACCACCGTTGTTTTTCCGTCTTCTGTTTATTAAGCTAAAATCAATCTTTCTCTCCTGCATAACTTCCTGTGCTGTGTGCTGTCGGCATGACTGATCGCAAATGTATGGGGTTTTATACAGTGCTTTAAGAAATAAGATGGAAATGTTGAATGAGTTGTGTTTTAGGCCCAATATCGCCTTTATTTAGGCAACAATTATACTTTCTGAATTATTTTTTCCATGCATTTGTACATGCTTTTTAAATGCTAGCTTTTTCGTTTTTTTTTTTTAAGTCTTTCTTTCTTTTTCTTTATTTCTTTGTGCTTCTTTTTATATTTTCTTTTAGATGTTATTTATTTTTATTATTTTTAAAATCATTTTATTTCAATAAGTCAGTTCATGTTCATATTTAGTTTTTTTAGTTATTGTTGTATTTATGTTGGATTTTCTGTCCTGTCTTTTCAGGAGCCCTACTTTTGTCATGAATTTGTGCCTGCATTTATATATAAATATGTCTTCATTTTAATTGTTAAATTTTTATTTATTTATTTATTTATTTATTTATTTATTTATTTATTTATTTATTTATTTATTTATTTTATTTCTTGTTGAGTCTTCTTGTGCATTTGTGCTTGCTTTTTAATATATAGGTTTTTACTTTTTGCATAATTTTTTTCTTTCTTTTTCATATTTTTGATTAAGTTTTTAAGTTTCCTGTTTTATTTCATTTTTATAATTTCTTAAAAATAATTTTTTGATATTCATTTCAAGTATTCAGTCCATATTTATATTTAGTTTTTTATTTATCGTTGTATTTATTTTATGTTGTATTTCCTGGCCAGTTTCTTTCAGGAGCCCTTCTCTTATTTGTTCATTTATACTTGCTTTTTTATTCTTTTTTTTAAGCGCTTTATAAATAAACTTTGACTTGACTTGACTTATATATAGGTTATGTATTTCTTTCAGATTTACTTTATTTTTATATTAATTGTAATTGTTCAATTCCCATTTATTTTTTATTTATGTTTTATTTCTTGTCCTGTCTTTTCTGGAGCCCTTTTTTTTTCTTTTTTACCTACGGTTATTTATTTATATATACAGTTGAAGGCAGAATTATTAGCCCCCTTTTGATTTTGATTTTCTTTTTTAAATATTTCCTAAATGATGTTTAACAGAGCAAGGAAATTTTCACAGTATGTCTGATAATATTTTTTCTTCTGGAGAAAGTCTTATTTGTTTTATTTCATCTAGAATTAAAACAGTTATTAATTTTTTTAAAAACATTTTAGGGACAATATTATTAGCCCTTTTAAGCTATTTTTTTTCTCGATAATCTACAGAACAAACCATCTGTATACAATAACTTGCCTAATGACCCTAACCTGCCTAGTTAACCTTATTAACCTAGTTAAGCATTTAAATATCCCTTTAAACTGTATAGAAGAGTCTTAAAAAATATCAAGTAAAATATTATTTACTGTCATTTTGACAAAGAGAAAATAAATCTGTTATTAGAAATACATTTTTAAAACTATTATGATTAGAAATGTGCTGAAACAATCTTCCCTCCATTAAACAGAAATTGGGGGAAAAAATAAACAGGGGCGCTAATAATTCAGGGGGCTAATAATTCTGACTTCAACTGTATATATAAAATTTGTTTTACCATTTGTGTACATGTTATTTCTTTTTTTTTCTGTATATTTAATTATTCATAAATTTTTCTTTGGCTTAGTCCTTTATTTTTCAGGGTTCGCCACACTGGAATAAACCTCCAACTTTTCCAGCATATGTTTTATGCAGCAGATGCCCTTCCAGCCGCAACCCAGTACTGGGAAACACCCATACACTTAGATTTACACACACTGATACACTATGGGCAACGTAGCTTATTCAATTCACCTATGTGTTTTTACTGTGGGGGAAATCGGAGCACCCGGAGGAAACCCACGCCAACATGGGGAGAACATGCAAACTCCACACAGAAATGCCAACTGACACAGGCGGGGCTTGAACCAGCGACTTTCTTAATGTGGGGCGACAGTGCTTACCATGCCACCGTGCCGCCCTTTATATTAATATGATTCAATTTTGTACGTTTTATTTATATAATGGATTTCTTTCCTTGTCTTTGCAGGAACCCTTAATTTTTTCATGTATTTGTACTTGCTTTTTATGTTGAGGTTTTTATATTTGTGCACATTTTATTAATTTGTTTATTTTTTCTTTATATTGTTTTTAATGTATCATTTCATTTATATGATTGATTTCTCTCCCTCTCTCCCTGCAGGAGCAAAACCCATTCCTGAACTCCACGATGGAGGCAGACGCTCTATTAAGGAGTCCGGTTCCTCCGGCCGCCAGTAAGGATCCGGGTCGACTAGGCAGCTCTGCGCGTGTTCTTCCTCCTCTGCCATTTCCTGGTGAACTCGTGCCCTTTGATGAAGCTCTGAGAGACGTCAACACTAACAGACCCCTGAGCAGTCAGGACGGGGCTGATATAGTGGCTCGACACGGAGCCCAGCTGCTGGAGGTCAAAGCAGCTGAACGCAGAGGTACAAACACACACAATACTGTTATAACATTAAATCACACTGACACACATCCAGCAATCATAAAGTCAACTTGTTCTTGATGCATAATCACATTTTAACAACATTGTTTGTGATGAAGTACAGTACTGCTTTGAGGATAGCAGTTGACAAATATATATACTGTATTAAGGTACTCATATACACTATATAAAACCCACTATTGTTTATTTTAAAGGTTCCTAATGTTGTTTTATTGGTCTCCTACAGTAGATTTACATCCAACCAAGTGTCAAAAACATGTTAATATTCTCATAATTTCCATTTCAGCATCAGATTTTTCCTCACTGTGTAAAGAACTGTTGCTTCGAGAATCTGCTCTCTCTAAACCCCTCCCCCTCTTAAAGCCTTCTCTGCTCTGATTGGTCAGATGGCTCTCCTCATATAGTTCTACTATGCTCTGATTGGTCAGATGGCTCTGCTCATATTGTTCTACTCTTTGATGGGTCAGATGGCTCTGCTCAAAATGTTCTACACTGTTCTGATTGGTCCGATGGCTCGGCTCATGTTGTTCGACACTACTCTGATTGGTCAGATGGCTCGGCTCATAAAGTTCTACTCTCATTGGTCAGATAGCTCTGCACATATTGTTTTGCTCTCCTCTGATTGGTCAGATGGCTCTGCTCTTCTCTGATTGGTCAAGTGTCTCTGCTCATATTGTTCTACTCTTTGATTGGTCAGATGGCTCTGCTTATATTGTTCTACTCTTTGATTGGTCCGAAGGCTTGGCTCATGTTTTTTGAAACTCCTCTGACTGGTCAGATGGCTCTGCTCATAAAGTTCTGCTCTGCTCTGATTGGCCAGATGGCTTTTGCTCTTTTCCCCTCCACATGAGGCAGACAACTTTTATAAGCATCCAATACTTGAAAAATATTGTGCAATTCTGAGTGTGCTCCATACAGGTAAGTGAGCTTGACAAACCACGTGTAAAAGACACACTCTTTTCCTCTCCATATGCACCAGACACATTCTTATAAGCTTCCTGTAGTTCTTGAGAAACATTGTCGAATTCTAAATGTGCTCCATACAGGTGAGTGGGCTTGACAAACCACCTGCAGAATGCACTCTGTCCTCTTCATATCCACCAGACACCTTCTTAAAAGCTCCCTATACTTTTTGTAAAACGCTGCGATTCTGATTGTGCTCCACACAGGTGAGTGGGCTTGACAAACCAAATAAAAGAAATGTACCAAAAAAAGCCTTAGACTTGTTGTTAGTATTTGTATAATGCAACTATGATGATTTGAAGTGCTCATTTGCAAGTCACTTTAGATGAAACTGTCTGCTACATGAGTGAATATAAAAGTGTGTGTTTTTCACAATCAGCCAATGAAGACCATACACTGACATTATGACTGACAACTCATTTCAGGCGTCTCGGGATCTCTTTTAGGACACAGAACAGCACTTTTGCATTGACAAACAGCTGCATTACTCACTACATGAAAGGTCATATCCCCCCGAAAAACCATCAGAGGGGCTCTGAATCACTCTCCATTATAACATGACCTGTTTTGTTCCGCAGAGTTGGAGAGACAGATGAAGATCGAGAATCTGTTTGTGACGTGGCAGCAGCGCTCGGCTCAGTCCAACATGCCCATATCGGTGAGTTCAAAACCCTACACACACACACACACACACACATGCACACAAACACGTTAATATCTGCACACAATGAGTTCAGCTCGATCTGTGTTTTCCATCACGTTCCCTGAACATGGTTTTCTCAGCGGCTCATCAGGCTCAGATTCACTGGAGTGTGTGTGCGGATCTGCTGCTTCTCACACACAGATGCAGATCCGTGTAGGAGCGCGTGTTCGGCCCAGTTGGGTTTAATGAGATGTGGCGAGGACATTAAGAGACGCTGTAGTGTGTGAGATGTCTCTGTCATCGGCTGTAATCTCTCTTGCTTTCACTCAGATGACTGTGTGCTTTCTGCACAGCTGAGGTCTGCGGCTCTGTTTGCTTTTGAGGGTGTTTTGGTTGTAAGAAATCGATGCTTTATTCAGCAGGGAGGAAATCAGTGGATCAGAAGCGCTCGTCTTTCTGTTTGTGCTTCACTCTTAGTTTATATGTGCAGAGGTTGTTAATGTGTATGTTGTTTTTCGTTGAATTATCTTTGATTAACTTAAATTTTTACATGAGTTTTTACTGCAAAATGTTGTATTAATATTATTATTTTTTATTTTTCATCCTCTTTTACACCTGATTTGCCTTGCTTTTTAATGACTTTTTCTTAATTGTAAGCCTTTCTTTCTTTATTTTTTCTTTTTTTCTTTTTTGTTTGTTTGTTTCTTTCTTTCTTTTTTCTTTTTTCTTTCTTTCTTTCTTTCTTTCTTTCTTTCTTTCTTTCTTTCTTTCTTTCTTTCTTTCTTTCTTTCTTTTTTCTTTTTCCTTTTTCTTTCTCTTCTTTCTTAATTTAATTCTTTTCTTCTTTCTTCATTATTTCTTTTGTTTATTCTTTTATTCTCTCTTTTCTTCTTTTGTCCTTTTCTTCTGTTGTCTTTCTTTTCCTTTTTCTTTCTTTCTTTACTTTTTTCTTTTTCTTTCTTTTTCTTTTTTCTTGCTTTTTTCTTTTTTTCTTTTTTCTTTTTTCCGTTTTCTTTCCTTTTTTTGTTCATTCTTTTCTCGTTTATTATTTCTTTTGTTCTTTTCTTATATTCATTATTTATTTTAGTTTGTTATTTTATTCTCTCTTTTATTCTTTTGTCATTTTCTTCTTTCTTTCTTTCTTTCTTTCTTTCTTTCTTCTTTACTTTTGTTCATTATTTCTTTCGTTCATTTCTTTTATTTATCATTTTCTGTTCGTTCTTTTTTTATTCGTTATTTCTTTTGTTCTTTTCTGTTATTAATTATTTCTTTTGTTCGTTCTTTCGTTCTCTTTTGTTCTCTTGTCATTTCCTCCTTTTTTCTTTCTATCTTTTCTTTTTTTTTCTTTTTTCCTTTACTTTAATTTTTCTTATTTCTTTCTTTCTTTCTTTCTTTTGTTTGATATTTTTTGTTTTATCATTCTTTTCTTTGTTTCATTATTTTTTCTTTCATTCTTTCCTTCCTTTTTTCTTTCCTTTTCTTTCTTTTTTGCACTCTTATTTCTTTTTTTCATGCATTTATACATGCATCCTCTTGAACCTTTTAAACAATAAAAAATTTAATTTTAATTCTTCCTTTACTACATTTGATGCAATATATATATCGCCCATACATAAAAAAAAAAAAAACAATTGTAGCTAAATTTTAGCTGGTTGTGCAACATCTCTGTCTCTATTGGAGGTGTCAGTGTCAGTATGATTAATAAAACACTCTAGTATTTACTATAAATTACTATAGTATATTTTCATGTAGGTGTCTGACAACTGAAAATAGTTCTGGTGGCAGATATCAGAGCCTCTGTTAATTTATACCTTGTACTTTTGTGTTAACTTTTATAATTATTTATTTATTTAGGAGATGCCTCTTCATAGTCTGATTCCAGTGCCTCAGTATTAAACTGTTAAAATGATTATAATTAAATGAAATATTCTTAAGAATAAAATATGATGTGTCTTTGGAAGAGTGCACTTGCATTATGATGATATTATATTGTCGTTCTGGCATTATATAATGAGTGGCATAAATTGACCTTAAAATGACAAAAATATCATTTATTACAATATATTTTAATGCAATATATAGTACGACAAAAAATAAATAAATAAATAAATAAATAAAAGATATCATGACAGACCTATGCACACTCCTCTCTTTTAAAAGTGTGTTTGTTTGTGTGTGTTTAGGTGGCAGATCTGGACACTCTAAAGCAATCCTCTAGACTGGTTCATTACTGCGCCACACCACTGCTCTTTGACCCTGTGTTCAGAAAACAGATTCAGGAGGAACAGGTGCCACAGCCACAGATGAAGGTCTGTCTCTCTTCATCTTCCGCTAAATCGGTCTGTCTGTTTGTTGGATCCATACAACTGTTAAAATGGTTCATCATGAGGTAGAATAATTGATAATAACCCTAAGTTCGATACTAATCTTATAGCTTTACAAATGCTATTTTGTTTTATTTTATTTATTTTATTTTGTTTTATTTTATTTTATATTGTTTTATTTTATTTTATTTTATTTATTTTGTTTTATTTTATTTTATTTTATTGTTTAGTTTTATTTTATTTATTTTGTTTTGTTTTATTTTATTTTATTGTTTATTTTTATTTTATTTTTATAATTTTTTTTTATTTTATGTAATTTTTTATTTTGTTTTATTTTATTTCAAATGTATGTAAAAATAATTTGAACAATGTAATATTTTAATATTTTTTTATATTGTTCATACTGATTCCCAGAAAGTATTTAAACAGTTTATCTGTCCGAAAACTTCTAGTCAAAAGTAAAATCTCAGTTATATTCTGCTTAAAGGGCTAGTTTACCCAAAAATAAAAAGCATGTCACCATTTACTCACTCTTGAATTGTTTTCAAGCTTTATGAATTTGCTTCTTCTGTTAAACACAAAAGAAGATATTCTGAAAAATGTTGGAAACCTGTAACCATTTATTTTTATACTATTTGTTAGTCCTGCTATGGAAGTCAATGGTTACAGGTTTTCAAAATATCATATTTTATAACTTTTTCATTGGAAACAATTAAAGTAGAGTAAATAGTGAGTGAGTTTTTATTTCTGATTGAACTATCCCTTCAATATTTCCCTCAGTCGTCTGATGTTGTGTGTTTATCCTTGTCCAGAAGCGTCATCGCTCCAGTGACTCGACAGCCTCGGGCCGGGACCGCAGCTACAGCACAGACTCTGCAGAGATGCTGCCGAGCCGGCTGAAGGAGGAGCCGTGGCTGCAGGACATCTCCAACACCTTCCTGCAGCAGTACGTGCAGTATCTGCAGAGCATGGGCTTCATCCTGGTGCAGGTCCGGCCGCAGTCGCCAGCACGCAGGTCAGACAATTACTTTAAATGCGCACACTCAAGTGTTTCAAAACTTCTATGAGTTTCTTTATTGTGTTGAACACAAAGCACTATGTTCTGAGGAATGGTAAAAATGGGTAACCATTGGCCTCCATAATACAAACAAAATGGGTTTTGAAGAATTATAGAAATGGGTAACCATGGCCTTCCAAAGTACGAGCAAAATAGGTTTTGAAGAATGTTATAAGCTGGTAACAATTGACTTCTATGGCATGATCAACATATGATTTAAGGAATGTTAGAAACGAGTAACCACTGATTTTTATAGTACAAACAAAATGTGTTTTGAAGAATGTTCGAAATGGGTAACCATTGACTTTTGAAGTATGAACAACATATGATAGAAATGGGTAACCATGGCCTCCCAAAGTACGAGCAAAATAGGTTTTGAAGAATGTTATACACAGGTAACCATTGACTTCTATGGCATGATCAACATATGATTTGAGGAGTGTTAGAAACGAGTAACCACTGACTTTCATAGTATAAACAAAATGATGTTTTGAATAATGTTAGAAATGGGTAACCATTGACTTTCAAAGTACAAACAACGTATGTTTTGAAAAATATTAGAAACGGGTAACCATTGACTCCATAGGACGAACAAAATGTGTTTTGAAAAATTTTAGAAACGGGTAACCATTGACTTCTATAGTGCAAACAAAATATGTTTTGAAGGATGTTAGAAATGGGTAATCATTGACTACCATAGTACGAACAACATGGTTTGAAGAAGGTTAGAAATGGGTAACCATAGACTTCCATAGTACAAACAACATATGTTTTAAACAATGTTAGAAATGGGTAACCATTGACTACCATTGTATGAACAACATATGTTTTGAAGAATGTTAAAAAACGGGTAACCATTGCCTTCCATAGTATGAACAATATATGTTTGGAAGAATGTTAGGAATGGGTAACAATTGACTTTTGAAGTATAAACAACATATGATAGAAATGGGTGACCATTGCTTTCCAAAGTACGAGCAAAATAGGTTTTAAAGAATGTTAGAAACGGGTAACCATAGACTTCTATAGCCAAACAACATATGATTTGAAGAATGTTAGAAATGGGTAACCATTGGCTTTCATAGTATGAACAAAAATGTTTTGAAAAATATTAGAAATGGACTTCAAAAGTGCGACCAATGTGATCTGACTTCATAATTACAACTTCCCAGGAGTGTTTGAATGCATTGTATTCTTCTGTAATTCAGTGTGATTGCAAGCTGTGCATTTCCGTTGAATGAAAAGAGTGTTAAAGGGAAAGTGAGACTGTATTGGGCAGCAGGAGTGTGTGCTTCAGCTTTACAGACTGTTGTTCTGTCTGTTTCTGCAGCATCGCTCGAGCTCGCGCCGCCATGTTGAGCTCTCTGTCCACTGAAGGCAGATCTTCATTCTCATCGTTCTCATATAATAAGCAGAAGAGTGAAGACAGCAGCCCTAAGGTACACAAGCTTTATTTCACGTTTACGCATTACGCTAATTTTTAAGATTTATTCTTATTTGCATTACACATCACTTTGTCTGTATGTTTTACAGTTCAAATATACACACAGACTTTTCCATTTGCAGTCTAAATAAACCCCATCATTTTAGGAGAATAAAAAGAAGCATGGCTGTGTCTGCATGTCACAAGAATCAGACCTGTAGTTGCTTTCATAACAATCAGATTTGAAGAATCATAAAGATCCTACATTATATATGTGTGTGTGTGTGTAGCAGAGCAGTTCGTCAGGCTCTGTGTCGTATCACCTGCAGAGGGCGCTGCCGGGAGGAATCGTGCTGATGGAGCTGGCCTTTCAGGTAAGAGCTTCATCTTCTGTCTTCAGAGCAGAGTTTTTATTTTTCAGGCCTCAGAATCAGCACACAGCAGACACTGGGCTTTTACAACAACACTGAACGTCTCGGCAGACACAGAGGAGAAAGAGAGATGCTTAATGGAGTCTGCCTCGCTCGCGCACTATTTATGCTTATTAATATTTGAACACACAGAATCAACAGCGAGGAAACAACATGCCATCTGATCTCCAGCCTTCCTCACGCCTCACATCTCTCACAATTCACTTTCAGAGTGTTTTGAAGATATTGTTATTACGGCTGTCAAAATAATTCATTAAGACCTGATAATAATCATCATCATCAATATTAATAATGATTTGCTTATTTATGAATAATAAATCTATTTATATCAATCGTGTCATCATTTAGAATTATTATTAATTTTGTTATTCTTATACTTGTTATTAATAGTAGCAGTAATAATAATAGTAATAGCAATAAAAAAATGTAATATTGTTGTAATTATAATTCATACTTTATTGAAGCAGAAGTGGTAATAATAATGATATAAATAAATAATAATAAGAAATATTATCAGAAAATTCATTCATTTGTGATGTTTAGATGTTTGAGATTACAGTTTACTGTATGAATATTGAAATCACCAAATAGTCTTAAACAATAACTAAATGCTGTACAGAATGGTACAATAATAATAATAATAATAATAATAATAATAATTTGGGTATGCCTTTATTTTGAGTGTGTGTTTGTTTATTTATTTATTTGTCTATTTATTTATTCTTTCATTTGGGTGTGTCTTTGTTTGTTTATTTATTTATTTATTTGGCTGTGTCTATTTATTTATTTATTTTGGTGTGTGTTTGTTTATTTATGTAATTATTTGGCTGTGTCTTTGTTTATTATTTATTTATTTGGGTACACATGTCTTTATTCATTCATTTATTTATTTGGGTATGTCTTTATTTTATTTTGGTGGTTTGTTTGTTTGTTTGTTTGTTTGTTTGTTTGTTTATTTCTTCTTTCATTTGGGTGTGTCTTTTGTTTGTTTATTTATTTATTTATTCGTTCATTTGGGTGTGTCTTTATTTATTTATTTATTTATTTATTTGGACATATCTTTATTTTTTGGTGTGTGTTTATTTATTTATTCTTTCATTTGGGTGTGTCTTTGTTTATTTATTTGGATTTGTCTTTATTTTTTGGTGTGTGTTTTATTTATTTATTTATTTATTTATTTATTATTTCATTTGGGTGTGTCTTTGTTTATTTATTTATTAGGGTGTGTCTTTATTTATTTATTTGTTTATATATTTATTTACTTATTTAATCATTTATTTATTTTGTTGTGTGTTTGTTTATGTATGTATTTATGTAGATCTATTTGTTGTTGGTTTGTTTGTTTGTTTGTTTGTTTCTTTGTTTTTATTTTAATTAATAATTCACTAGTCAGTCTACCCTCAAAACAATAGTTTATATGCCCAAAAATCCTGTCGGATGTATTCAAAACAAAGATCAAAGTCTTTATATTTTGCCTGATCTTTCAAAACAGTAAGATTTATTAATTGATACAGTTTAATATGATAATTTCATCTTTAAATGCTTTAGAAAGTGCAGTTGGGAGTAAGTACAGTGTTTCATTTCATTTCATATTTTATATAAACCTTTAAACTTAAAATTTTGCAGATTTTACCCATATTTATGATTTATTTATTTTTTAATTTATTTATTTATTTATTTTTGCAAAACTTATTTAAAACATTACAGTAGATTACCTTTTATATATTTATTATATTTATATATTAATGCATGCAAAATCCCAATTGCAAATGTCATCTTTGATGCAGAAAAACCAAATGAAATGTCTCGTTTTTTTTAACCCGCTTCTCAATTGTTGCTAAAAATATAGATATTTAATTTAAGTCCTGCGTCTCATCTATAAAAACTCGCCTCGTCATACCCATCATGTCTGTCACTTCCTGTAACACGTCTTCATACATTAGCGCAGTGTACTTGTGCATGTGTGTTTTGTTGTCATTTTGTGTGCAAATTGACTTCTAACCTCTCTGTGTGGCATGTTTCTTTGTTTGTGTGTGTGTGTGTTATCTTCTGTGTCTGTCTCACTGTCCTGCATATATGTATGTATGTGTGTGTATATGTGCGTGTGTGGGTGTGTTTAGTCCCATCTCACCCTTTCTTTCCATCAGGACTCTCTTCTGAACAAAGCTCCTAGCAAGCCGTTCCCCGAGGAGCCCACAGACTGTGACTCTGCGGTATGTTCTGCATCCTCGGGGGCGGGGCTCGTCTACAACCAATCAGGCTTCAGTCTTTACCTCAGACCCCTCCCCCAGTGTAGTGCCTGGCTCCTCCCCTTTTCATCCTGCATCCCCAATCTTGCGGTTTCTATGGGGTTCACTCCAATCAGACGGCTTCTTCCCCCGTGTTTGTCAGTGATGCACCTTTAGTTGCATCTCTAATGTTTTTAATCCATTTATTTAATCTTCTGGGAGCTCTGAGGTCACTCTTCTCGCAGCTCTGATGATCTTTTCTCCTTGCTCAATGATTATATATCTGATTTTCTTCCACTCTTAATGCATCTTGATTTATATCCGCTTGTCTCTATTTAGGGAATCATCAACTTTAATTCTTGGACTCTTTATTTCCTCTATAGATGATGAATGTGATGCTGATTTTAGCCCAAGTGTGGGGTTTATCATTTTCTTTTCACAACTCAAGCCTTTTCAGAAAGAGGAATTCACAAGCGCTGCTTTTCCCATTTTGCCACGGCAGAGCTGTGAGAATGTGTGTCTTCCAGTGGTGTAAGTTGCTTTGGATGAAAGTCTCTGGCGCAAATGTGAATGTAATCTTCCTCTTACAATAGTCTGATATAAAGCTACGGTAGATGTAATGTAAAGCCTTTCAAAACTTTGCTAGCCAAAGGAAACATGTTCTCTCTGTGATGGCGTGGGTTTCCTCCGGGTGCTCCGGGTTCCCCCACAGTCCAAACACACGAGTTATAGGTGAATTGGGTGAGCTAAATTGTCTTAAGTTTATGAGTGTGTGTGTGTGTGAATGAGTGTGGATGGGTGTTTCCCAGTACTGGGTTGCTGCTGGAAGGCCATCCACTGTGTAAAACATATGCTGGAATATTTGGTGGTTCATTCCGCTGTGGCGACCCCTGATAAATAAGGGACTAAATTGAAGGAAAATTAATAAATGAATGAATAAACACGTGTTTCCAAGTACTGGATTGCACCTGAAGGGCCATCCGTTCTGTAAAACATGCTGGAATATTTGGTGGTTCATTCCGCTGTGGCGACCCCTGATAAATAAGGGATTAAATCGAAGAAAAATTAATAAATGAATGAATAAAAACGTGTTTCCAAGTACTGGATTGCACCTGGAAGGCCATGCATTCTGTAAAACATGCTGGAATAGTCGGCGGTTCATTGCTCTGTGGTGACCCCTGATGATTAAGGGATTAAGTCGAAGGAAAATGAATAAATGAATATGTGCTTTATAAGTACTAATAAACAGCAAATATCTTGATTAGACTGCAAATAAGCCACTATAGTAAATAGTGAGAATTGGTATTTCTTTTTAATTTTTAATTGTGTGAATTAATGAACTTTACACTTTGTTTATTATAAAGTTGTTGCCTTTTGCGGCTGCTTCAGGCCTTTGTCGGGAGTCATGGAAAGTTGATTTTGAGGTTGCCAGAAAGTAGTAAAGTACACAGTATACAGCAAGAACTATGAAAGTAAGGATGTGCAGGAAACACCAGGAACTCTCAAAGTGATGGCAAAGTCCCTTCAGGCAAGTTCAGTCAGCGGTCATTTTCGTTGCGCCTCGGGCAGATCTTTCCAACATACAAGTACAACTTCATCTGATTGAATAGGGAAAGACTTCGAAATCCATTTCTAGAAGAATCTGGCAAAATAAAAAAATTTTATATTTTAAATCAGGAATAAAATAATACAATAATCGCATCATAAATGACAAAAAAAAATCATTCACAACTAAAAGAAGCTGTTTTCCAATTATTTTCCTTTTTTTATATGAAAAAAGTTAAGATATGCAGGTTAATCAACAGCATATGGATATAAAACATGTCAGCTACTGTGCAAGTTTTTTAGTCAATTAAATTATATTACTTAAGCATATATCTTTAATGTAATGACTCAAAATGCTTTTATTATTGCAAAACTTATTTGAATCATTGGAGGAGTAGACTGCTTATGCATAAAGAAATCACTTTTGTAAATGTAATTTGTTGCAAAAACTGAAATGTCCCATCCTTTAGCCATTCATTTTCCATTCAGATTGATCTTCAGCATGGATATAAAACATTCACTGAGTGATGGTGATTCAGCTTTATCAAATGCATGATGCAATTATGTTTAAAAGTAGTTAATTCTTTTATTTTTAGCTGTTAAAATACAGGCAGGGGTGATTTGTGTGTGTGTGTGTGTGATGGCTTTGAGTGAGAAAAGCACTTAAAGGGACAGGTCACTCTAAAATAAAAATAAAAACTTGAGATATTCTGAAGAACGTTGGGGAAGAGCAGCCATTGGCATTTACTATGGAGATCAATGACTTGGTGCATATTAAATATAGTGTTTTAATATACAATAGTCTTACAATAGTTGTACAAACTGAGTAAAAATAAATAGTGGTCAGTTAAAGAAATACCTATTTTGCCCTCCATGTGAGCCTTTCTCTAGAGATGTGAATAGGCTGATTGAAGCAGAAAGAACTGGTTGTTTTACCTGAAGGACTTCAGCATCGAGTGTTATGATTGCTCTCGTTCAGACATGCTGAAGTGGACCGTTTGTTTTTGTTCATAGTGTTCAATACATTGGAGAATGACTTAAGGAGACCTATTATGTGGCTTTTTACAAGATGTTAAATAAGCCTTTGGTGTTTGGAGTGTGTATGGGACGTTTCAGCTCAGAATATCACACAGATAATGTTTAATAACTCTCGGAAACTGAACCTTTTAGGCTTTTAGCCAAATTGTGCATTTTGGTGACTGTCGCTTTAAATTCAAATGAGATTCTGCTCTTTTTTCAAAGAGGGCGGAGCTACAAATGCTTATGTGTCAGCAATGTGGCAGATTCAAAAGCAAGACTAACGTCCTTTGCCAGGGCTTTTCAATTGGCGGCCCGGGGGCCAAACTTGGCTCGTGACGCAATTTATTTTGGCCCTTCAAATAGTGTGACCAAGACATCAAAAATAAATTTAGTTCAGTTAAAAAACGGCCGCTATAGTTATGAAATGACGTGCGTTTGTTCAATACAGCATGAGCTGCAGTTGAAGACTGCGCAGAGCTTGAGTCTTCTGATATTAAGCGAGTGGCGTGAGCAGTCAGTAACATTTGGATACTTGAGCTTAAAGGCTTCTCAACGTTTCAGGGTACGAAACTGCTGCAACTAAACGAAGTTGTGCCACCTATGTGCTAGTTTAAAGTTCCAAGCTTGTACACCAAGAATACGTACTCACACTGGATTAACTATAGCAGCGGGCCGTTCATATATCCCGCCTTTTTCATGTGCTAGTTCGTCATTTCCAATATTAGAATATATGCCAATATGCGTGTGTAAGCAAAGCAATGCGCTCGCGGCTGTCAGACTCACCAAGTAGTAAACATCTCACATTGTAGATTTTTACAAATTAATGAATGTGAATTATTACAAATTATTAAAATGATTACAACCCAGGCTCATTCTGAAAACGTAGTCCCGTGGATGAGTGCGAAATATGTCCCCGGGAGGTACGTATTTTTGCAGTTTTTGTTTTCGCGAATCTGTGAGAGGCTACTGTGTGCGCTTTTTTTATATCTCAAATGTCTCTCGCGAATGCCGTTCACGCCCGCGATGTTCTCGCGTAAACCCACCAGAGGCGGCTGTCGACCGACTGAATGAGTGACCGGGTGACCGGCCAATCGACTGACCCACCCTCCTCCTTCCCTAAACCCAACCAATTTTACTGTTTGACCCGCTCATCCACATACTTCCCTAAACCCCCAAGTGACGGTTTACAAAAGTTGTCCAGAAAAAGAAAGGCCTTCATCTGATTTTTACCCAGTTTTCAGATTAAACCACATTCTCACCCTGTTGTTTACTCGTTCATTTCCTTTTTTGGATTCTGTTTTTGTCTTACCTGATTTCTGGAACCGCTCTTCCCCGTACTCGAACCCAGTCGTTGTCGTCGAGGTCAGCTCCTCTCTGCGTCTCAAGTACGCTGACGTACACGACGAGCTAACTGGACAAACTGGTTGCGGCGGGAAAGCCCTCCACACGGAGGTAAGCGGTCAGCCAGTGAGCGCCAAAAGGAACTGTGTCATACCGCCCCGTAGTGTTCACTTAAACAAATGACTTGCAGCCATACCTACCTCCAGCTACATAATTCGAGGCCTCCAAAAACGTCCACGTGACTACGTTTTCACAATGAGCCTAGGTTGAGTGATTATGTATGTATGAATGCAGATGATAACAACCGTTCATTTAAATACCTAATATAAAGCTTAGATTTACATTAGACGTGATAACCGTGAAAGCATGATTACTCTTCAGACTATATACTGTAATCGTACAAGCAAAATCTATAATTGTTGCATCCATAATTGCTATGCAGTTCAAAACAAAACTTATGAATGTGTCTGAATGTGGAAGAAGCCTACTTGAGCAATGCACTGCTTTTTTGTCCTTCGAAATACAACATTTGAATATGTTTGTGAAAAAAAAGTCACATTATACAATGCACTGACATTATATTGTTTCAAAATACAATATATGAACATTTTAATGTAGAAAAAGCCAACGTGGGTGTCTTAAGGAGCAAAAATACAACATATGGGCTCTTATATACTGTTGTCATCACTCATATTGCAAGTGATATCTCTCCGGCCTCTCATTTGGGATGCTTTTTTGAACTGGCCCCCACAAACTAATTGAATAGCTCTAGTCTAGGGTCTAACTGGGTTTTCTATGCATCGTGCATGCAAACACAACAGCAGAATGTAAACAGAGCTGTTTCTAAAAGCTGTTTCATGCAGACTGAGAGGAAAGTGGACGAGTGGTTTTATCTTCAGGACATTCACTCAAATGTTCCACCTGCAGATTTCAAAACGTTGACGTGCAAAATGTTGCTGGATGAAAGCTGCAATTGCACTGGCCGGTTGCTGCTGTCTGTGGAAATACAGCAGGTTTTGGCTTCTATAAGACCTGTGTGCGTGTGTTTTAGGCGGTCAGGATTGTGCTGTAATTACTCCTGCTTTCTCTCTCTGCAGTCATCTGCATTTGCCGATAATGCTTTTGTAAGCACAGCTTTGATGTGAGCTTTAATTAAATCGGATACGATTATTACATTGATTGATATCGCAGATGCTCTGCTAAAGGTTTTGAGGTTCAGTTGCTTTCACATTAGTTTCGTCAGGACTGAGGGGTCTTTGGCTGAGCTTCGCCAAATCTGTCAACAGCATCTGTGCGCTTCGGATTTTAGCCCCAGATTCAAGTTTTTGTTCATCAGATATAACGTTTATAACAGTCTCATTCAGAAACGACACCGGTTTCAGATGACAAGTCATTTGCCTCATTATCGCCATTTACAATTAAATGACATTTTCGCTCACACTTTATTTGGAGGTGTTTTAGCTGTGATTTTGACCTCTAACTCCTAATTTGCTGCTTATTAATAGTTAATAGAGTAGTAGCTTTTGGTATAAGTATGATTAAGGATGTAGAATATGATCGTGGGCAGCACAGTGGTGCAGTGGAAAGCGTTGTCGCCTCACAGCAAGAAGGTTGCTGGTTCGAGTCCCGGCTAGGTCAGGTGGCATTTCTTTGTGGAGTTTGCATGTTCTCCCCGTGTTGGCGTGGGTTTCCTCCAGGTGCACTGGTTTCCCTGAAAGTCCAAACACATGCGCTATAGGTGAATTGGATGAACTAAATTGACTTGTAGTGTGTGTGTGTGTGTGTGTGTGTGTAAATTGTCCGTAGTGTATGAATGTGTGTGTGGATGTTTCCCAGAGATGTGTTGCGGCTGGAAGGGCACCCGCTGCGTAAAAACTTGCTGGATAAGTTGGTGGTTCATTCCGCTGTGGCGACCCCGGATTATTAAAGGGACTAAGCCGACAAGAAAATGAATGTGTGTGTGTGTGTGTGTGTGTGCGTGCGTGCGTGCGTGCGTGCGTGCGTGCGTGCGTGCGTGCGTGCGTGCGTGCGTGCGTGCGTGCGTGTGTGTGTGTGTATGTGTGTGTGTGAATGCGAGGGTGTATAGCTGTTTCCCAGTACTGGGTTGCGGCTATAAGGGCATTCGCTGTGTAAAACATATGCTGGAATAGTTGGTGGTTCATTCCGCTGTGGTGATTCCTGATAAATAAGGGGCAAAGGAAAATAAATGAATGAATGAAATTGTAAAGTTTCATTGGGGGTTTTTGTGTTGTATTTAATACAGCTTGAAGCAATTATATCACATTAATGAGTAATAACAGTATTTGGATTCATCTATTTATCTATTTATGATAAAAATGATGCAGCAAAACGTTTTGGTCTCTGACAAGGTTTACATTTTCTCTGACTCTTGTGTTGAAATGCCTCTTTTTCTTTTTTTAATCTGAGCGTCTGCAGTTTGCATTGTTAATATAAGCCTGATGGATTTCCTCTGGGATTTCTGATTTGGTAGGCTGTTTGGAGGTTTTTTTGTGTTCCTCAATAACCGTGAGTGTGTTTGTGTCCTCCAGCTCTCCATGCTGTTCACTGAAGAGTGTGATAAAGTGCGGGACCTGATGCATGTTCACTCGTTCAGCTATGATTTCCACCTGCGGGTGGTGCACCAGTATCTGCTTGGGTGTCACATGACCCTCCGTCAGGGATATCAGCTGACCGGCTTCCTGGAGGATTTTATCGCTCATCACCCAGACATACCCAAGTTCGGACGCAACCACGTTTTCCAGGGTGAGAGTCTTTCACCTTTTTTTTACACCCAAGAACTTTATTATAGACATTTATGTACAGTTGAAGTCAGAATTATTAGCCCCCCTGTATATTTTTCCCTAATTTCTTTTTATCAGAGATTTCTTTCAACACGTTACTAATTTCTAAGAACTGATTTCTTTTATCTTTGCCAATATTTGCAGCACAATGTTTGACTAGATGTTTTTCAAGACACTAGTATTCAGCTTAAAGTGCAATAAGGCTAAGCTAGGTTAATTAGGTTTAAAGTTGCATGTCATTGTAATAATAATAATAATATTAATAATAATACATTTTATTTAAGGGGCAAACAAAGCAGAACAATACAAACAGTAAAAAAAGACCACAATAAAACAATAAAATATGAACAACTCAGTACAATTGGATGATAAAATTAACAAAAATAATCAATCTAAGTTCAAATCAAAGGTAAAAATGTGAGTCTTCTTAAGTTTCTTTAAACATTTCAGAGAAACAGCATTCCTGATGCTGATGGGTAGGCCATTCCATATCTTAGGCACACTGTACGGAAAAGCCTGACCACCCATAGTCTTCAGTTTAGAGCATTTCTGATACAGCAAAACATTGTATCAGCCATGGTATAACGGTGGTTTGTTCTGTAGACATTCCAAAAAATCTTGGATGAAGGGGCTAATAATTTTGACCTTAAAATGGTTTTAAAAAATGAAAAGCTATTTTTACTCTAGCCTAAATAAAACAAATAAGACTTTCTCCAGAAGAAAAAAAATATTATAGGAAATACTGTAAAAAAACTCCTGAATCTGTTAAAAATAATTTGGGAACTATCAAAAAAAGAAAACCCAAATCACAGGAGGGCGAATCATCGAAGAGATTTTTTTCAACACGTTACTAATTTCTAAGAACTGATTTCTTTTATTTTTGCAGCACAATATTTGACTAGATATTTTTCAAGATACTAATATTCCGCTTAAAGTGCAACAAGGCTTTGCTAGGTTAATTAGGTTAAAGTTAGAGTAATTTGGCATGTCATTGTAATAATAATAATATCAATACATTTTATTTATGATGCGCTTTTCTCAGACTCGAAGCGCTAACAGGCATACAAGGCAAACAAAGCAGTACTATAAAAACAGTTAAAAAAACAAAACAATAAAATATGAACAACTCAGTACAATTGGATAATAAAATTAACAAAAATAATCAATCTAAGTTAAAAGCAACGGTAAAAATGTGAGTCTTCTTAAGTTTCTTTAAACATTTCAGAGAAACAGCATTCCTGATGCTGATGGGTAGGCCATTCCATATCTTAGGCGCACTGAACGAAAAAGCCTGACCACTCATAGTCTTCAGTTTAGAGCATTTCTGATACAGCAAAACATTGTATCAGCCATTGTATAACGGTGGTTTGTTCTGTAGGCAATCCAAAAACTCTTGTTTAAAGGGGCTAATAATTTAGAAAAATTAAAAACAGCTTTTACTCTAGCCTAAATAAAACAAATAAGACTTTCTCCAGAAGAAAAAAATATTATAGGAAATACTGTGAAAATTTCCTGAATCTGTTCACCATCATTTGGGAAATATTTTAAAAAGAAAACAAAAATCACAAGAGGGCGAATTATTTTGACAACTGTATTTGTTGGCTTTTATAATGTTGTTTATTTGTGAAGCTGCAGATCATTTGATTTGCTCTTCAGTGTTTTTGGCTGTCAGACGTACTGTAGTTTGGACGAAGTTGTTGGCGATTCTTCCTATTGTAAAGTCATGCAATGTGAAAGCCCCTGACGTTGATCCGTCTTGCAAAATCGGGGCTAGAATCATGGAGTCTGAACTCGGCATAAACAAAGCAACAACAAAACGCTAGCCCAGGGGTCCGTTCTTCGTACGTGGATTACTCAGTTAGATGGATTTGGATATTGACGATTTGACACGATCCAGGATCGTTTCGTTCTTCAAAGCTGATCCGAGAGTTGTTGTCATAGCAACAGTTCTGCTAGGTCAAACCTGATCGGGAGCAGGTTCAATTCATATAAACAGGATTAGATCGGCTCAGTTCAAGCAAAGATAATACAGAAAGTATGTTCCGAATTCTGATATTTTCTTACAGTAGTAGTTATATACACTTGGGAAAATGGTACATATTTTTTAACTATATATATAAAGTTATAGTCATTAATAAAATAAATTAAGTTATACATATTAATAAAACGTAGGCTATACAATCTGCACTCTCGAAATGAAAGTACAAAGACTGCCACCTGGTGCAAAGAGAAAACTTATTGATATTAACTTTTTAGATCGCTTTAGTACAAATTGTGTATAATAGAAATGCACAATATGTCACTTTTGTAAAGCAATAATACATGTCAGCAGTCATAAACATGTTTTGATAGTTAATATGCCAGTGATTTGATGCTTCACAAAAGTTGCAGACGCCTTTACCAATACGAAAATGCTTTTGTAAACAACCAGTTATTCTTTACACCGATTAAAAAACGGCTACAATAATAAAGAAAATCTTTTCTAAATGTAGAACTAAATACATTGATTTGCATTGAAATACATGATGAATACTCTTGTCTTGACACATGAAAGTGTAAAGCCTGCAGCTCCCAACAAATGTGGAAAGTTCTTGCGTGTCATATTTAACAAGCCGTTTACTGCTAATTTGATGTAATTTCGCTCACATGGATAATTGAATATTAATCAGATGATGTCATTACGCTGCTGTGCTGTCAGCCAATCGCTGCATTGCTGATCATGATTTCGAGGATCGATAGATCTGTCCTTCACAACACACGCAGCGATCTCAGATCAGTTCATCCAGACATTTTAATCTGATTCGCGAACTTGTTTGAAGAACCAAATTAGCGAGAGATCAGTTATCAAGATTAAAAGATCCAGGATCTGCCAAATCATCTTAGATCATTTAAGCGAGGTACGAAGAACAGACCCCTGATAATCATGCAGTGTGAAAACATCTGTGAAACGACTACTTTGAAAATCATGCAGTCTGAATTCGGCATAAGGTGGATATAGCGTTTTGCAAAAAATAAAAAGTTGTGTTGTGTTGTTTTGTGTACACTCTGGCCAAATCTAACTCAGAATCTTATTATTAATAATCAATCTTTGTATCTATTATTCCATATATTTGATGTATAGTTTTTTAACCGATTTAAGATGTTTGACAATGTTAAGATTGATGTGTTTCATTTTGGCATGGTTTTTGACTTATTTATGAACTATTTATGGACATAAAATTAAATAAAAAATATCCTGGATTTGAAGAATATTGTGTTCCTGGCTCAAGTGATAGTTTAATGTACAAAAATTGTAAATAACCTTGACTGTTGATGTCTTAAATAAAAATGTCAAATAACCAACATTTTCCAAAATATAACTTGTTTTGCAACGAAACTCTTCATACATACATACATACATACATACATACATACATACATACATATATATATATATATATATGTATGTATGTATGTATGTATGTATATATATATATATATATATATATATATATATATATATATATATAATTTAAATAATAATAAATATAAATAAATGAATAAAAAAACTAATTCAGCTCACTTTTTTAATATGTGCACCAGGGAGTTTCTCGATATCGACAGGGATGATCACGGCTCATCAGCTGTACAACTATATCACTGATCACGCTGGGACTTACGGCATGAAGCCGCTACGCATGTCCAAGGCTGCAGTGTCCTCTGAGAACAGGAAGGGGGCGCCAAGTGCAGATCTGCATGAGTATGCGCTCGTTGCTCTCTGGAACAGGTGTGTTTTCCTCACTCCACTGTTAGTCTGTATACAAAGTCATCCTCTATTGACCTTAGTCTGCGATGTGGAAGTGCACTCGTTTTTCGTGATGGTTTTAGAACTTCCTATTCAGTTTACTATGGGCGAAATGACCAGGAATAATAGACGGTCAAACTGCTTGCTCTATAAACAACGACTGTACATGAAAATTATTCCACTATAGGGGTCCATTTTAAATACAGCATCAGTTTAAGCTGCTCATTACCACTTCTGCTTCTCGTTTAGCTCTGGCTCGTTTAAAGATCTGGAGGGTTTACGTCATCATGATGATTTTGACGTGTCTCTGCTGGTGTGTCATAATGCAGCTCCATTTGAGGAGCAGACTGAAGGAGAGAGACACCTGCTCAGGTACAGGATGCACACACATACACACAATACAGCACAGCATTAGTGTATCTCTACATACTGGGGCTACAGTAGTCAATAATGATGATTTCATAATGACGGTTACATATACAACAATCAATAAACTGAGTAATCAGAGAGACATGATATAGCCTGGGTTGTTTAGATGGAGCTTGTTCACACATTTTTGTTGTAAAATATTGTAATATTAAATATAAAATAGACAAAATTACCTCTGGCATCATCATTATTATATTTCATTCAATTTCTTTTCGGCTTAGTCCCTAATAATCTGGGGTCGCCACAGCGGAATGAGCTTCCAACTCATCCAACATTTGTTTTTACACAGCGGATGCCCTTCCGGCCTCAACCCAACACTGGGAAACATCCATACACACCCATTCACACACATACACTATGGACAATTTAGCCTAGCCAATTCACCTGTACCGCATGTCTTTGGACTTGTGGGGGAAACCGGAGCACCCGGAGGAAACCCATGCGAACACAGGGAGAACATGCAAACTCCACACAGAAATGCCAACTGACCCAGCCGAGGCTCGAACCAGTGACCTTTTTGCTGTGAGGTGACAGCACTACCTACTGCACCACCGCGTCGCCATTATTATTATTATATAATTATTTTTATTAATATTAATAATATTATTACTAATAATAAGGCAAGGCAAGTTTATTTATATAGCACATTTCATACACAGTGGCAATTCAAAGTGCTTTACATAAACAAGAATAAAAGAAACAAGTAAAATAAAAATAAAAACAAATAATAAAAATGCGAAAAAAACATAAAAGCAGGTAAAATGTCATATAAAAGAATGAAGAAAATAATAACAATATTATTTAAATTATTATTATTATCATTATTAATAATAATAATTATAATATTACTATTATTATTATTATTATTATTATTATTATTATTATTATTATTATTATTATTATTTAATAATAATAACACTAATACTAACAATAATAATAATGAATTACAAATAATTTATAATTATAATTTCCTATTATAACAATATAATAATACAGTTAATTATAACATAAATATTGTGTAAATTAAAAATATTACATAAATGCATAAATAAACATTTGGACAATGGACATATTAAAACCTATACATAACTGATATACTACAGCGGTGATCTACTTATACATATACTCCAAATGGGTAACTATACACTAAACCTAAGACAGACTATTCAAGAACTTTACATTAAAAAAAAAAAAAAAAAAAACAATACTGGGCAATGTTTTGTGCAAAGGAGGTATTTAAGGTCGAAGAAAACAAGTAGGTCAACTTGATTGACAAGTAAACATTGTTTTCCTTGTTGAGTTGTTATATGATGGAGTTTAAGAAAAGTGTCTGGTTCATATCGTTAGAAGAGTATTTCTACAGGTGGTTTGTCAAGCCCACTTACCTGTGTGAGACACACTCAGAAATCCACAATATTTTTTTTCTAGAGGGATACAGTAAGAAAGTGTCTGGTGCATAGAGTGTGTTTTCTATGGGGCTGTCTCGATACTGGAAAAGCGTCCATTTCCCGCAAACATTTGAGCGATGTTGAGCGCGTTCTTAAACATCGCTGATTTGCCATTGTGTTCACATGCTCAACAGAAATGACTGTGATTGGCCGTGAAGGTCATCGGTTCACCGAACTCACCGCTGTTTACTGAGTGTAACCACAAATAGAGGAACACTGGAGTGTTTTAAAGCCGTGATTCATCAGCGGATCACTCGTATGTCAGCTTACAGACAAACCAGCTGATCGACGTGACTTTGAAACAGTCCAGTGTGTTTAAGAACGTGCTTCACATCGCCCAAATGTTCGCGGGAATTGGACGCTTTTAAAATTTCAGTACTGATTGGTATCGAATTCCAGTGTCGAGACAACCTTAGTTTTCTACATGTGGTTTGTCAAGCCCACTCACCTGTGTGAGGCATACTCAGAATTGCCTAATATTTTGATGTTTTGAGGTATTCCAAAATGCATAACAATTTAACACTCCGCTAAGTCTTCTGATGTTTCCTGCATGCATTTCTGTGCTGTTCTCAGGTTGCGCTTTTACGTGATCATGACAAGTCAGCGCGAGCTCTTCCCTCGTCTGACCGCAGACATGCGCAGATTCAAGAAGCTCCCTCCGATCCACCGTGAGGCCGGAGAGTCCAGTGGCCGCACGCCAGCGGAGCGCTCTGAGACGCCGGAGCCTGAGCTGGAGCTGTGGGAGGACACCAGTGACTCTGAGCCCACAGATGCAGATGCAGACGCAGACGCACACTTCTACCTGTGTCCGCTGTTCCCTCTGCTCAGCTCTGAGGTGTCGTCTGCGCGCCGGCAGATCCAGGGCAGCGTGGAGCAGGCCATGGCTCACTGCCGCCGGGATAACCTTTGGAGGAGACTCTTCCACGGGGAACACCTTGCTCTGGACAAGCTCAAACTCAGCAAACTGACCTTCGCGGAGCTGGAGGAGCTGCTGGACGCCGTGCAGAGCCGCTCAGTGGGAGAGATCGACCCACAACTGGTATTAACACACACAAAAATATGGATGGATGGATGGATAGATAGACGGATAGATATATGAATAGATAGACGAATAGATACAACGATAGATAGATAGATAGATAGATAGATAGATAGATAGATAGATAGATAGATAGATAGATAGATAGATAGATAGATAGATAGACGGACGGACGGACGGACGGACGGACGGACGGACGGACGGACGGACGGACGGATGGACGGACGGACGGATGGATGGATGGATAAATGAAACAATGTAATGATGGATGGATAGATAGATGGATAGATAGATAGATAGATAGATAGATAGATAGATAGATAGATAGATAGATAGATAGATAGATAGATAGATAGATAGATAGATAGATAGATAGATAGATAGATTCATTAAGGAATGAACGGTGTAATTTCTTGTATTAATTATAGCAAAAAGATATAGCTCAAGCTCAAGAAATATATATTATTTTGTTTCACTATATTATAATATTTTATATTTATGTTGTAGATTTGCCCTAGTAAGCCCTTTTAGTCTAGTTTGCCCTTATTTAGAACTTGCATTTTCCATGAATTAAAGAAATAAGAAAATGAAGGAATAGAAATAAGAAAAAAATCTAAATCTTTACGTTTATTATTTAATATTTTTTATGTACAATAATTTTTTATTATTTTTTATTATTATTGTTTTCGGGGGAAAATATATTATGTCTTGAGAGTTGCATGTGAAATTTGGAAAAACAAAGCCTCATATTTTTGAGGATTAAAATTTATTTTCTAATTAAAGTAGTAATAAAATACTTTAAATTTAATACTTCTCAAATTGAAAAACAAAATTGTGATTTTTACATTTATTATTATTATAATTGTTATTATTATCATTATTATTATTATTATTATTATTTACTTGTTGCTGTTACAAAACATAAAGGCGCAGCGGGTAGCGCTCTCACCTAACAGCAAAAAGGTCGCTGGTTCGAGCCTTGACTGGGCCAGTTGGCATTTCTGTGTGGAGTTTGCATGTCCTCCTCATGTTGGCGTGGGTTTCCTCCGGGTGCTCCCGTTTCCCCCACAGTCCAAACACATGCGGTACAGGTGAATTGGGTAAGCTAAACTGTCCGTAGTGAATAGAAATGTATGGGTGTTTTCCAGTGATGGGTTGCAGCTGGAAGGGCATTCGCTGTATAAAACATATGCTGGATAAGTTAGCGGTTCATTCCGATGTGGCAACCCTGGATTAATTAAAGGACTAAGCCAAAATGAAAATAAATGAATGAGTGATTGATACAAAACATATAAAGAGAAATGAGAGTAGGATCAGAAACCCTGCCGACACTCTCTTTAGTCTATAGGAAACCACTAGAAAACTGCGTGTTTGCATGTATTGCGTTTATTCAGGCTCTGTGTTGAATATGTGCCTGACAACAAACATGCTAATGCTGCGCTCCGTGTGGAAAACTTGCGCCCTCCTCATCACCACATCACAATAAACATCAGCTGATTAGCACAGGAAATCAGCCCTGTAATATTACATTGCGTTCCTAACGGCTGCTGTTAGTGATCTGATTACACAGCAGGCAGGAAAGACTGGAAATGCAACACACATCACTGTGTTTCAGACAGCACAGCTATGTTTGGCTTCTGAAATTGAGGAAAACTCATTCATTCATTTTCTTTCTGCTTAGTACCTTTATTCTTTAGGGGTCGCCACAGCGGAATGAACCGCCAACTTTTACAGCATACGTTTTACACAGCGAATGCCCTTCCGGCTGCAACCCAGTACTGGGAAACACCCATACACACTCATTCACACGCATACACATTTAATTCCCCTATAGCGCATATGTTTGGACTGGGAGGGAAACCGAAGCACCCGGAGGAAACCCATGCCAACTTGAGGAGAACATGCAAACTCCACACAGAAATGCAAACTGACCCTGCCAAGGCTCAAACCAGCGAGCTTCTTGCTGTGAGGTGACAGTGCTAACCACTGAGCCACCCCATAATCACTTTTACAATACCAAAACAATTACAGTAGTCAACATTTGAAGTGGATTGTCACCATTCATCAAAGCTGTCCTAAAACTAATGAACAACGCTCGTTCTTGTTTTTGGACAACGTTGAAAAGCTTTATTGATCCGCTTCAGATGTTGACTCCAGCATGATTAAGATGTTTTTTAGCCTGAGCTTCTGTGTTCCTCCACCCATACGTGACAGGATCAGATGGTCTTTCCAAACCTGCATCTCAATGGCGTTTGATTGCTGATCTGTTCATGCGGCGTTTGCTTCTGTATTCCCTTCACACACACAGAAGTGCTCAGTCAATTCTAGCATTCGGCTGCTCCTCTGCCACAACTGCTACTGCTAATGTGAGCGCTGGGATGATATATACTGCTGTCAAAGCCATACTCGTGACCAAGTAGAGATGTGCTCTTACTGTCACAGCAGGCCCACACAAACCTGCTGCAAATGACTAACAGTTTCACCTGAGTGTGAGCGCTGCCTTCCTTCGGTGTTGTTTAGTTGATTGAATAGTAATATTTTGGTGCACAGGCTGATCTGATCTAAACACTAATACGCTGATCCAGGCTTTCAGGAGCTCAAAGGCTTTTTAACAAGCAGATTTTTATTAAGGTGTAAATATTGAATAATCAATCATCATTCATTCGTTTTCTTTTCAGCTTGGTCCCTTTATTATTAAGGGGTTGCCACAGCGGAATGAACCACCTACTTATCCAGCATATGTTTTACTCAGCGCATGCCCTTCCAGCTGCAACCCATCACTAAGAAACACTGATACACTCTTGCATTCGCACACATACACTACGGACAATTTAGCTTATTCAGTCGACCTATAGCGCCTGTGTTTGGACTGGGAGGGAAACCGGAACACCCGGAGGATACCCCTGCCAACATGAGGAGAACATGCAAACTCCACAGAGAAATGCAAACTGACCCAGCCAAGGCTCGAACCAGCGAGGTTCTTGCTATGAGGTGACAGTGCTAACCACTGAGCCACTGCGCTGCCCCATAATCAATACCAAAATAATTACAGTAGTCAACATTTGAAGTGGATCGTCACCATTCATCAAAGCTGTCCGAAAACTACTGAACAACACTCGTTCTTGATTTTGGACAACGTTGAAAAGCTTTTTTGATCCGCTTCAGATGTTTAGATGTTTTTTAACACTGATACACTCTTTGCATTCGCACGCATACACTTTGGACAATTTAGCTTATTCAATCGACCTTTAGCGCTTGTGTTTGGACTTGAAGCAGCAACCTTCTTGCTGTGAAGTGAATGTGCTACCCTCTAGGCCACCGTGACGCCGATACTAAATAATATTTAGTGAAAATATAAGAATATAGAAATGTTTTTATTTTAAAGTCCAACTTAAAGTGCAATTTACAATGTTTAGTTTGCTAGTGTCTTCTGTTAGTCTCATGGTGAATCCGTGCAGGTGAATCCACTTAACAAAACCTGAAATTTCGAAGTCATATTCATATTTTTCATTAAATAAAACAGATATTGACATTTTATTCAAAAGCCAAATCCATTTATTTGGATAATCATTTCCTGGCAGAGATTACTACTTGATTTATTGTAAAATTAGTAATAATAATGTCAAAGATCTGTGCCAAAAAAAGATCTCTTTTATAATTATAATTAAAAATAAGTTCCCACTTTATATTGTTACATTTAAATTTATAATTCATTACAGTGCACTTATGTACATGTTTTCACATTGCCCTTATATTTTAAAAATGATCTGCATGTAGTTTCTTCTTTAGTTACATTTAAAGTTGAAAGCAGAAGTTTACATATACTGTATAAAAAGGCACAGAACCGTTGTTTTAGAGTGGCCATCACAAAGCCCTGACCTCAATCCTATAGGAAATGTGTGGGCAGAGTTTAAAAAGCTTGTGCGAGCAAGACAGCCTACACATCTGACTCAGTTACACCAGTTCTGTCAGGAGGAATGGGACAAAATTCCTGCAAACTATTGTGAGAAGCTTGTAGAAGGACACCTAAAACATTTGACCAAAGTTATACAGTTTAAAAGCAAAGCTACAAAATACCAAGAAAATGTTTGTAAACTTTTGACTGTCTAAAAAATTAATAAAAAATTCTCACATAAAAAAAATTCTCTTATTATTCTGGCATTTAGTAAATAATTTAAGTAATCCGAAAGGACCTAAAATAGTAAACGTTTAGTATGATTTACCATCAGACATTTTTTAAAAATTCATCCCTTACACCTTAACCCACCCTTAAACCTACCCATACCACGAAACCCAGCCTCATAAGTGTTGTGCAGCACATTATAATCACAATAAGTACAATTTACTAAGTAAGTAGTAGTTAAGGCTAATATGAAGTGGGATTACACATAATTCTCAATAAAAGTGTGAAATTATTTTTAGTTGTGATTTTCTAACCCTCGTATCATTGCTAAACCCACATGAGTTTCTTGTGTTTATGTTTTTGCAGGACTGCTTTCTGAACATGAGTCCCGCCTGGTATCAGAGTCTCATCAAAGTTCTGCTCTCGCGTTTCCCACAAAACTGCAGGCATTTTAAAGATGACAGCGGCGTACAGTATCTGGTAAGAGACTCAGACTTACTACCAACCGAGTTTTAGATGTACAGTATTGTTGAATATTTGGAGTTGGAACAGTTTTCTGGTGTTTTAAAGACCCTTTAAGTTCACCGAGGCTACATTCAAAGGGCTAGTTCACCAGAGAAATCACTATTTACTCACCCGGAAGTGTTTCTAAACTTTAAACCTCTGTTGAAGCTGGAAACCTGTCACCATTGACTTCCATAGTATTTAGTTTATCTATAATGGAAGTCAATGTTGACAGGTTTTTTAGCATTCTTCAAAATATCTTCTTTTGTGTTAACCTTTTACTCTGTTGAACAAAATTAATATATTTTGAGAAAAGCTGGAAACCTGTCACCATTGACTTCCATATAATTTTGTTTGTCCTACTATGGAAGTCAATGGTGACAGGTTTGCAGCATTCTTCAAAATATCTTTTGTGTTAAACCTTTATGAGTTTCTTTACTCTGTTGAACACTAAACAAGATATTTTGAAGAAATCTGGAAACCTGTAACCATTGACTTCCATAGTAAGAAAAACAAAAATACTATGGAAGGCAATGGTGACAGGTTTGCAGCATTCTTCAAAATATCTTCTTTTCTGTTAAACCTTTAAGACTGTCTTTACTCTGAACACTAAAAAATATATTTTGAAGAAAGCTGGAAACTTGTAACCATTGCCTTCCATAGTATTTTTGTTTTTCTTACTATGTAAGTCAATGGTGACAGGTTACAGCATTCTTCAAAATATCTTCTTTTGTGTCCATTAGACACTCTTAAAGGTTTGTAACCACTTGACGGAGAATACGCATGAGTAAATTTTCATTTTTGGGGTGAACTACCCCTTTAAACTGTTCTTTATTCCATGTTGTTGTGGGTTTGTTTGTGAAGTCAGCAGGAGTGGTGCTGGTCTGTCATACAGTAGTGCAGTACAGTACATTAACAGGCCAGAAGTGCTGATGGTAAAGTGCTCTTACATCATTATTCCCATGAAGGACTTTGAACTTGATTACTTGAGGCCACTGAAACACGTGGTCATCCGTGGTGCATTATGAGACATCAGTGACTGGGTTCCAGCTAAAGTGCCCCATTAAGCTTTTTCACATATGACCTTTCCTGTAGTGAGTAATGCAGCTGTTTGCGAATGTGAAAGGTGCTCAATGTGCATCAAAGTCTAGATGAAAAAGAAGCAAGTGAACCCGATCTGCATAAAATGTGTCGCCTATGATTCCAGATTTAGTTCCTGCACAAACCAACAGGGCTAAAACCTATTGTGCAGAGCAGTTTGTGGTGTACAGAGATGCACTGTCAATGGGGAAGACTAACCTAAGAGCATGCGCACAAACCTTACACGTAGTCCACCATTGATGTTGTAACTGTTACGAGACGTAACGTGTCTGAATAGGGTTGACACAATGTGTCTGAATTGGGTTGACCAATCAGAACAGAGTGGAACTATCTGACCAATCAGAGATGGGACACCTGACCAGTCAGTAGAGAGCACAGCCCACTTACTAATCAAACAACAGTAAAGACATTTGACCAATCAGAGCAGAGTAGAAGCATCTGACAATTCAGAGTAGAATGGAGCTTTCTGACTAATCTGAGCCAAGATACCTGACCAGTCATAAAAGACTCTGACCAATTAAAGCAGAGACATCTTACCAATCAAAACAGAGTGGAATCATCTGACCAATTACAGTAGAATAAAGCTATCTGACCAATCAGAGTAGAATAAAGCTATCTGACCAATCAGTAGAATAAAGCTATCTGACCAATCAGAGCAGAGACATCTTACCAATCAGAGCGGAGTGGAACCATCTGACCAATCAGAGTAGAATAAAGGTATCTGACCAATCAGAGCAGAGACATCTGTATAGTCAGTAGAGAACACAGTCAAGTGACCAATTAAAGCAAAGTAGAGACATCTGACCAATCAGAGCAGAGTAGACCCACCTGACCAATTAGAGTAGAGTGAAACCATTTGACTGAGTAGAATAGAGCTATCTGACCAATCAGAGCCAAGACACCTGACCAGTCAGAAGAGAGCATAGCCATCTGACCAATCACATCAGAGTGGAACCATCTGACCATCAGAGCAGAGCGGAACCATCTGACCAATCAGAGAAGAGCGGAACCATCTGACCAATCAGATCAATCAGAAGAGAGCACAGCCATCTGACCAATTAAAGCAAAGTAGAGACATTTGATCAATCAGAGAAGAGCAGAATTATCTGACGATCCAGAGCAGAGACATCTGTTTAATCAGAAGAGAGTACAGTCATCTGGACCAATCAAAGCAGTGTAGACCCAGAGTAGAATGGAAACATCTGAACAAGCAGAGTAGAATAGAGCTATCTGACCAATAGGAGCAGAGACATCGGATTAGTCAGAATAGCACACAGCCATTTGGACCAATCAGAGCTGAGCCACCTGATCAGTCAGAGCAGAATCATCTGACCAATCAAAGCAGAGCGGAACCATCTGACCAATGACAGCAGAATAAAGAGCTATTTGACCAATCAGAGCAGTGGCACCTGACCATTCAGAAGAGAGCACAGCCATCTGACCAATCAAAGCAAAGTTAGAGACATCTGACCAATCACAGTAGAACTGAAAGTAGAATTGAGCAGTCAGAAGAGAGCACAGCCATCTGACCAATCAAAGCAGAGCCATCAGACTGCTCAGAGTAGGGTAATTTGACCAATAAAAGCAGAACAAAACCATCTGACCAATCAGAGCAGGCTTTCAGAAAGGCGGGGTTTAGAGAGAGAGAGTTTTGATCCCTGATCCAACCATTTCAGACACTCAGGGAAAAGAGCTCATGCTTAATATGAGAATGAGTGTTTCTTGACCTTGGCTGTCCTGTGGGACAAACAAACCACAATTAGCATGAATAGAGGAGAACCAGATGACAATTGAGCTCCATCTCTTCATCCTTCAGTCAGTAATTGGTGGTGATGTGGGTTTCTGCTGATTCCTGAACTGATGATGATGATTTCACCTGCATATTTAAAGAAACAGGGCCTTCTTTTGTTTTCTTCAGGTTAATCTGGGTTCAGTGGATTGTGAAGATCAGAGTTTTATTTAAAGATGAACATGTGAGGGTGACGGCTTTATAGTTTTTAGTTTGAGTCTAAACTCTCTCCTTTCTCCAGGCCGTCCTCAACCAGAAGTTCACAGACTGTTTTGTGCTCGTCTTCCTGGACACACAAGCTGGAAAAACTGTGAGTTTTAATCTGTTGTTCACCACAAAGCTAGCAATGTGAGCTAACCAAATCATATGGTTAGTTTTGACTTCATGCACAAGGTCTCATCTCTTTCCTCCAGAGTCTGAAGGTGGTTTTCCGGGAGCCGTTGCCAGCGCAGACGCAGTCGAGCAGCAGTCCTCCACCGCAACTGGTCTCCATGTACCATCATCTAGAGTCGGTCATCAACACGGCCTGCTATAACCTGTGGACGGGCCTGCTGTGACACTGCAAACAGTGCTTTTCCGACTTACAGTATTTATCTTCTATCTAAAAGCTCTTAAATCAAGGAGCATTTTCTGAATTAGTCGAGAGAATGAAAACACACAGCTTTTCTTACTTCGATTTGTCTGGTGTCTAGTCCAAATATATGAATACTCTTAAATCAAGAAGCTTTTTCTGGACAAGCAAAACACTTCAGATTTGAATATTATTGAGGAGTTCAATTAATGATTGATTTAAAAACACCAACAAAACCACCAGTACACTGCAAAAAATGCTTTTCTTACTTAGATTTTTCGACTGGTTTCTAGTCCAAATATCTAAAAACTCTTAAATCAAGAGGAATTTTCTAGACGAGCAAAACATACTGTCTTGTTTTAAGAAATAATATCCCAATATTAAGAAACAAGCAAAATAATCTGCCAATGGGGTAAGCAAAATAATCTTGTTTTTCCTTTTGACATAATATTATTTTGCTTACCCCATTGGCAGATTATTTTGCTTGTTTTAAGGAAAAACTCCATTAATATTGGGATATTATTTCTTAAAACAAGACAATATGTTTTGCTTGTCTAGAAAATTCTTCTTGATTTAAGAGTTTTTAGATATTTGGACTAGAAATAAGTCGAAAAATCTAAGTAAGAAAAGCATTTTTTGCAGTGTAACCAGTGTTATGAATCTAAAGATGAACACATCCAGTCATGTTCTTGTTTTAAGAAATAATGTCAAGATTACTGCGAGTTCCTTAAAACAAGCTAAATAATCTTATGTCTAAAGGCAAAACCAAGATTATTTTGCTTATTTTAAGGAAAACTTACTTATTATTTCTAAGAATAAGACCATCGTTTTTTTTTGCTTGTCTACAAAATGCTTTTAAGGATTTTTACATTAAAAACAAGACAAAAAAAAATCTAAGTAAGAAAAACTTAGTGTCGTCCTGTTTTCAGAAATATAAAGTCATAATGAAGTGAGTTTCTCATTAAAACAAGCTCAATAATCTGCCAATGTAATAAGCAAAATAGCTTTATTACAAAGTAAAAACAAAATTACTACTTATTTCCCCTATTGGCAGATTATTGAGCTTGTTTGATGGAAAAACTTCATTCTGACTTCTTAAAACCAGACCATATTTTTGCTTGTTGATTTAAATATAGATATATTTGTGCTAGATACAAGACAAAAACTTTAAATAAGAAAAGTTAAAAGGAGACTGAGATCTGAAGCAGTCTCGTGTGTGTTCAGTCGTCACATTTAGTCCTCATTCAGTGCTGTGAATGATCCACTTGTTGGTTTTGGTGAGGACTAGACTGGTTTTGCCATTGAGGTAGTCCTTCTGTCTGCTCTTTTCCTCCATCTCTCAGAAGATGATGCTTTAGATTTGTCTTACATGTCCAGTGTTTTCCCACAAACCACCTGCTGATATTTTTTTTGCCCCATAATGCACCACGTACACTGCAAAAATGTGTATTACTTCAAGTTTTTGTCTTGTTTCTATTCCAGATATCTAAAAATCCCTTAATAAAGAAGCATTTGCTAGACAAGCAGAAAATACTGTGTTGTTTTTAGAAATAATAGGTCAAAATGAAGTGAGTTTTTCCTTCAAACAAGCTCAATAATCTGCCAATAGGGGAAATAAGTAATAATCTTGTTTTTACTTAGTAATAAAGTGGTTTTGCTGACCACATTGGCAGATTGTTTAGCTTATTTTAAGGAAAAACTCACTTCATTTTGACTTTGTATTTCTGAAAACAAGACGACACTTAAAAAAAAAAAATGATTTTCTTGTCTTATTTTTAGTCCAAATATACAGGCAAAAAATTGACTTGTGTTCAGAAATATTAAGTCAAAATTAAGTGATTTTTTTCCTTAAAACAAGCAAAATAATCATGTTTTTGATTTTTTGACTCGTTATTCCTGAAAACAAGATTTTTTGGATGTCTAAAAATGCTTCTTGATTTTTCTAGATAAGAAAAAAAGTGTTTTGTTTCCAGAAATATTAAGTTAAAACGGTGTGTTTTTCCTTAAAACAAGCAAAATAATCTGCCGATAGAAAAAAATTCTCATATCAAAGGGAAAAACAAGATTATTTAGCTTACTCCACTGGTAAAATAAATAGTCTTGTTTTAGGTTTGAAATAAGATTAAAATACTTAATCTTAAAATATTTGTTATCTAGATCTATATTCTATAATCTTATATAAGTATTAACGTTACTTTTCCTCGCCCCACTGCAGATTATTTAGCTTGTTTTAAGGAAAAACTCACTTCATTTTGACTTTGTATTTCCAAAAAAAAAAAAAAAAAAACGAGACTGTAAAAAAAATTAAGATTTTCTTGTCTTATTTTTAGTCCTAATATCTAAAATATCCTTATAAGCATTCTGTTAACAAGCAAAAAAAAATGGTCTTGTTTTCAGAAATATTAAGTCAAAATTAAGTGATTTTTTCCTTAAAACAAGCAAAATAATCATGTTTTTGATTTTTTTGACTCGTTATTTCTGAAAACAAGATTTTTTGCATGTCTAAAAATGCTTCTTAATTTTTCTAGACAAGTAAAAAAGTGTTTTGTTTCCAGAATTATTAAGTTAAAACGGTGTGTTTTTCCTTAAAACAAGCAAAATAATCTGCCGATAGAAAAAATTCTAAATAATCTCATATCAAAGGGAAAAAGAAGATTATTTAGCTTACTCCACTGGTAAAATAAATAGTTGTTATAGGTTTGGAATAAGATTAAAATACTTAATTTTAAAATATTTATTAAATAATATATATATAAGATCTATATTCTATAATCTATCTATAATCTTATATTAGTATTAACATTACTTTTCCTCACCCCACTGCAGATTACTGAGCTTGTTTTAAGGAAAAACTCGCTTCATTTCATCTCAGTATTTCTGAAAACAAAAAAATATATATTTTATCCTAAAATGCTTCTGGAGTTGAACTTTTTTAGATATTTGGACTAGAATCAAAAGAAAACCATTTTTACATTTACTTTGTTGTTGTTGTTGCAGTGTATTAGTTTTCACTGCCATTCTATCATCTCAAAAGTGCCTTTATCTTTATTTTCCTTGAACTAGTTGTTCACACTGGACACACGGGCATCATGGGAAACCCTTGACGCATGAAGGAAACCATTGAAACTCTTTAAATGACAGAAATTGAGGAATGTTTTACTGTTTTGTTTCTTTAAAGCACACTGGATGTTTTTCAACAGTAGTTAGTAATCTGTACATTATGTATATAGAGGCGGATTTGTAAGAAACAAATGCTTAACAATAAATCTTAAATTAAACCTCTGACGTCATGTTTCTGAAATGAGAGAAATTAAGTGCTGAAAAGCATGCGGAGGTGAAAGATTATTCCAGTGAGTGAAACTGACGGTTCATTTGAAGCATATTTTAATCTTGTGTGGCCTTTTAGAGCTGATTTAGTCACGTTCTCCTCCATTTCGGCTTCTCCAGTATTTTCGGAGCCACTCCAGACCGGCTTCAGTCGAACCTGGACAATAATATTCACAAATATAAATCAGCAGAAACTCAATTTTCACAATCCTCTGTGTAGCTAATGAACAGCAAAGCCTGGAAATGAAGCCATGAGGATTTACAGCTGTTTGTTTGTTTGTTTGTTTTTTAAACACATTAACATTTTTTTTAAAGGAATTGTATTTGGTACGTCACTTCACTTTGTGCAACTTCATTTCTATTTAGATGTTGATCTTTGGTCTTGGTTTGTGTGCAGTAGACCTGTTAACAAGATCTCATAGATGTTTTGTTTTGGTGTTTTTAAATTCATTTTATTTTGAAAATTAAAAACAAATGAAGAACTAAACTGATTACGCTACAAACTATAAAGACATTTAACCAAAAACATACCAGAAATATCACAAAAAACAGATAAATATAGTACACCCTCAAATTAAATGAATATGAATATCTAAGGAGCTGATCATAAGTTGGTTTACAACATCAGAATCTTTTCAGATTAATGATTTTGATGAATATTAAAGTATAAAGTAATCAAAAAGTAAATGACATTTAGATTAATAAAACATTATTGAACTCTACCGGTTTAAAAAACAACAACTAAAATATAATATTAATAATAATAATAATAATAATAATAATGATAAACTAATTATTATTAATAATATTATGTTGTTGTTAGCAAAATGCAAAATTGTTTCTGTAATGTTTAATACTCTTATGATAATATTACAAAATGTTCATCATTAAAATGTCATCATATAATAATTAACACATATTAATATTAACGCATTTACACAAATAAAAAAAAAACTTAACTGGTTAAAAAACAAAACTTTTTATTTATTGTTTATTATTCCATTGACAATATTACATAAAATGTTAATCATTAAAAAGTCATAATATACTGATTATTTATCTAACACATATATGAATATTAAAGTATTTAAGCAAATCAAAAAGTAAATCACATTTGGACTAATAAATTTTTTTTTTACTTTACTGGCTAAAAAACAAAACTAAAAAAGAAATGATTACGTTATAAGATTTTATATATTATATTATATTATATTATTTTATATTATATTTTATTATATTATGTTATATCATATTATTTTATATGATATATTATTTTATATTTTATTTTATATTGTATTATATTATATTATTTTTATTATTATTTTATATGATATTATATTATTTTTATTATAATATAATATATTTTATTATATTACACATTCATTATTGTGTTTTTACTAAAATGAACATTTGTTTCTGCCTTTTTTTTATTCCTATTATAGTATTACTGTAAATGTTCATCATTAAATCATATATGATCAATATTAAAACTCATAATCAGTGAAGTGACCTTGAGGCTTGTATTCGCAGCCGATGAAGCCCTGATAGTCGAGCTCCTCCAGCAGTCTGAAGATGAAGGAGAAATTGAGCTCTCCAGGGCTGTCTGGCTCATGCCGATCCGGAACCTGAGCTATCTGGATGTGGCCTGATGCAAAATAATAATAATCAATAAGTAATAATAAAACTGGAAAACAGAAAGTATAATAAAGTAATATAACAATATAACAATATAATTTAAAAGCATTTTGTAGACAAGCAAAAAAAAAAACGATGGTCTTATTCTTAATATAACAAAATAATTGCATTTATTTTTTGTTAATATAGGCTGGAATACTAAAACAAACAATAAACATGATAAAATATAGTAAAAAAGCACAACAAAAATCAAACCTGAGCCTGTTTTTACTCAAAAATGTATTGTTTTTCTCTAATTTGTATTCAAGTTCGAAACTAAAATAACCAAAGACAGTTAAACAAAACTTGAAATAAACACAGAACATCGACAAAATATTACTACAAAATGTTCAACAAAAATACAAACTTAGAATGTTAATATTGTAAATATAGGAAATATTTTGACATTTTTATTTTATTTTGTAGAAATTTAAACAGAAATGTTTTATTATTTTATTGTTGTGGTGTTTGTGCATATGTGTATATATGTGTGTATATATGTGTGTGTGTGTGTGTATATATATATATATATATATACCCACACACACACTAAAATAAACTTTCTTTATTCAGTTTTCTACAAAATAAAGTAAAAATGCCAAATCGCTACTACTAAAATTCATCAAAATAATACTTTTGAATGTTAAAAATTATTAATAGTAAAGATGTTGAAATATAACGTCTGTTAGGTTGAGACAGACTGCAGCAGGATTATGTATTACCGCAGTAACGGTGAGGTTTACCTGTCATTGGTAAGTATCTCCGTATATTGTGAGTTAAGTTTCCATCCATGATCTGCCAGTGGAAGATGTCCTACAACAGCAGAAGCAGACAAGAACAGTCAGTGTATGGAGAGTCTGAGGTGTGTTTTCTGCAGATGGATGGATGGATGGATAGATAGATGGAAGGATGGATAGATAGATAGATAGATAGATAGATAGATAGATAGATAGATAGATAGATAGATAGATAGATAGATAGATAGATAGATAGATAGATAGATAGATAGATAGATAGATAGATAGATAGATAGATAGATAGATAGATAGATAGATGGATAGATAGATGGATGGATGGATGGATGTGGATGGAAGGATAGATAGATAGATAGATGGATGGATGGA